TTTTCAATGCAGATGGTGTGCGCTCTGAAGTTCCTAAGTGAAAGCACAACATGAACATCTGTAATAGATTATGGAGAGCAATAAAGACGCACTGCAGATGTTCCACAGCTAAAGAATTATTAGAAACCTAACACGATATTAGTACAGAACCCAAAGGATGATGATGACCATTACTGTCTATAGAGCTAGCTCTTTTGGGTATGGTGATGATTAACATGGTCAAAATCGTTTTCCAGGTTCAATAGGACTGTCTCGACAGTTCATTCCTGTAATTGACCCAGTGCGATCCGATTGTGGCAAATCAGACTCCAGGCGATCTCAAGCAGCACACTCTACGTGCGATAGACCGGTCCTTCATATCTGATTGATTGCCAAAACTCGCCGCTCGATACCCCCTTTATAGCCCCGAGACTGGCGGTCTTGGTAAGGCATAATGATTCTCTAATTGATTTGTGCGAGAGATGCGATCTCTGAGTCACCTATTCCCGTTCTTGCTGTCGATACTTTTGTGTTAAAAAGCAGTGGCTTTTTCTACACAGCAACTCAGCAAGGTATCATATCCCAAAAGGTGGAATGAATGGTGTCCAAAACTTGAAAGTATTTGGGCACACCGGTACTCGCGTCTATGCTGCTGAGAAGTTCTGTGCCGTAAATGTGCTAGTTCGCAATGTTCAGGACTTATCCTTGATATCTGTATGATAATTGATACAGTGAGGATGATCAACGCGGTGCGGTAATGATTGTGAACTGGATCTAATGGCGACGATCAGCATGGGATACGATGAGGACAAAAAGTATGAAAGGAGAGTAGTAAAGCCTAAGTAGCCTTTGAGATGTGCCGTTTAGTGAGCAGACTAAATAAGCCGTACATCATTAGCGACTTGTCTGGGTTGCCTCATTGACGATCCAGGGATTTCATACTACCTCGTGTTCTTTAAGCAGCCTGTTGTTTGTCCAAGCCCTTCAATGCGTCACATGCTCTTTCCTCCCCATCTTGCAAACACTACACCTGCCGACAAGCGCCATCCCATCTTCCTTCACTGTGACTTGCATATGAGCCTACACCTGCAAGGACCCACCATCAAAGCAGCCCTTATAGCTCAGTGGTAGAGCGTAGCACTTGTAATGCTAAGGTCCGAGGTTACTCCTCGTGGGGGCATTTGAAGTCCTTCTTTTTGTTCTTTTGCATGTTGCATTTGAAGCGAAGGTATTTGCCAGTGTGTAGTTGCTAGGTGTGGAAACCCTGAGGCGCAATAGCAGTGGGAGGTATGTGGATTTGGAAACTGGACTTGTAAGGAGTAGCGTATCGCGGGTAACGTTTTCTTTTTCGCATGGTCGCGCCAATAACCAGAACTAGTACAAGGAGGGGGTCCGAGGATGATCCTGCGGTGAAGTGTTCAGACCGATATGGGTTGTGTTTCTGGATGAGGTGGTGACTTGCATTGAAATTCCTCCTATGCTTGATGGTGTCAAGCAAATACAATTTGTCTTCATGATACAATCTTCTGCAGGATACTCCGCGAAGATACTCTGCGTCATGCCTTGAATATTATAATCATCACCATAGTGATTTACAGGATGGTTTTTGTTATTCTTCGCAAACCTGTTACCGATGCCAGGGAGGCTTGCCGATCGGCACGCTTGGAAGGTACTTGCATCAAATCTAGTGCTCAGCACATCTTGGGCACCGCTCAATCATCATATAAAGAGGTGGTCGAGGACGTTTGATCTAGAGTGCGAAATGTTGACGGAGCAGACATATCTATGGAAGAGAGACGTGGTGCCCGACCTATTCATTGGACCCTGAATTGGTTTTTCCCATATCTAGACTCGAGATGCCTGAAAACATAGGAGAAAGGTATAAGAGAAGAATGAGAATGAAGGAAAGGAGATAGACCATTGGGGAATACTACATAATAGTACAGAAAGTAGGAACCTTGACGAAGCTCGTCACCACACTCGTCAGCGCAGAAACGGTTCCCACACCCGCTTGGAATGCTTCTTCGCCCTTGTGCTCGTTTGCGGAGATGAGTTTGAAGATGACCTTGTTCATCAGGGTTTGGTCGATGGTGTGCTCCGGCCTCCGCCAACCTTCGTTGTAGGGTAGTCTTTCTTCCTCTAAGAGCTCGCATTAGCTTCACGACATTCTGAGAAGAGAAGAAAGACGAAACAGCATACCAAAAAGTACCCTCACCCACTCCAACGGCGCAACACCATCATGCCCCAGCAGATTCAAATACAACGCCGTCTCCCCATAACTCATAGTGACCTCCTTCACCCCATACGTCCACTCCTTCCCCTCCTGCTCGTGCTGCTCCTTGCTCTCCCTGACTCGTTCGTACCTGACTTTACTCGCACTCTCAAAAGTAGTAGCCTCAACATCACCAAACCCCTTTATAAACGTCTCGAATTTCTCTTTGTTAAACTCGCTGTTGGAACCAAAGGCTATGTCCTGCCGGGAAAGGGACACGTCGTGTTCTATCCAGTTGTGTTTATTTACGTGGTTGAGGTCAAAGGTATGGGTTGAGTGGTCGGGGTTGGCTGCTACGCCGCCGGTGGCGAAGACTGATGCTAGGGTGGGGTTGAAGTTTATGGATTGGCAGATGGCTTTTATAGCCATGTCTTTTGTTATGCCTTTGCCATTGTGGGGAAGGATCCCATGGTTGGCGAGGGCGTTGATCGCGGGGCAAGGCGAGCGGACTGGTGGTTGTTATCTTAGTTGAAGGAGTTGGTATGGAGGGGAATCATTGTATACCGTCACCTGGGCCTGGAGGAGACCATTTAGTATAGTCTATTTCTGGATGGCCTTCTGGTGGTGCGGCCATGCTGTCTGAACAGTGTAACACTGCTAGGTTGAGAGGAATGATTCGAAATTATGGAGAGTGAGCTTTAGGAAAGACCAAGAAGTATAGGAACGTAGAAGTAGAAAGACAGAAGTAATCAAGAAGAGCTCTATGGGATAGCAGGTTAGTTATAGGTTAATTATACGAGGCAGCTGAACTTTAAAGGCAAGCTGCCGCAGCTCCAGCTCGCTCTAGCCAGTCAGGGCGGGGTTATTCCTCAGCTCCTTCCCACTTGCAACAGGGCTGACTACACACGATTCTCGGCGAGACCGACATTGCGAGATAAGGCACATGCTGCAATTCTATGCAATTACGATGGTTTCGATGTCGGTATGAAGGTAGAGAAGCGGTGACAACGTAACAGGGGGAAGTGATGAGTGGTGCGTCGGGACGGGCCGTCGTGGTTCGAGCGCTGAGGGTTTGGATGACGACTCTTTGACTACAACTGGCTCGATCGACATATCAATCGAGAACAATAGTGCTCTCAAATGAAAGGCTCTTCGTCATTCATTCACTTAAGACCATCATCACGAGGTTCAAGGGCGTTGTACGCTCCCCAAATCCGAAGTTTCCGATCCAGAGTTTACTTTTCAACCTCCATAACCAAGCACAATCATTCAAACGAACAAGCTCAATTCCTCCGCTCTGTAAAAGCGGCAATGGCTGAAGCTGCTTCATCAAACTCAGGTCCTACATCCATAGAACCAAATGAAACATCTTCTCAAAAGAAGCAATTAAAGTACATAGATGTTGGTGCGCCAGTCAGATCCAACCATGCCAACCCTGATACTCATTGCAAGAATATAGATTGGTATAAACCTCGGTGATCCAGTATTTCGGGGTATACACCACGGCAAAAAAGCTCATGAAGATGACTTTAACGATGTCTTGGAAAGAGCAATGGAAGTAGGGTGCAAGAAATTCATGGTGACAGGATCAGATTTGAAGGAATCGAAACGAGCTGTAGAATTAGCAAAGGCACACCGTACTTCCACCTCTTCTCCTTCCCCTTGTCTTCAATAACCAAAGGCTAAATTTGAGACCAGCCGGTCTCTGCTACGCAACCGTAGGCGTCCATCCATGCTCAGCAACTCAATTCGACAAACACCCATCAGGACCTTCTTCCTACCTTTCCTCCCTCAACGCTCTAGCCGTCGAAGCAAAATCATCAGGTCACGCCGTTGCTTTTGGCGAAATAGGCCTCGACTACGATAGACTATTCCTCACCCCAACAGAAGTTCAACTCAAGTACTTTGAATATCAATTAGACCTCGCCGTGGAAATACAACTGCCACTCTTCTTACATTCCCGCGCCGCTGCCGAAGATTTCGAAAGATTACTCAAGAGTAGACTGGATAAACTACCAAAAAGAGGTCTTGTCCACAGTTTCACGGGTACATTGGAAGAAATGAAAAGGCTCGTCGATTTAGGTCTAGATATAGGCGTGAATGGATGTTCACTGAAAACAGAAGATAATCTAGCAGTGGTTAGGGAGATACCATTGGCAAGATTACAGATTGAGACTGATGGGCCCTGGTGTGAAATGCGTCCTTCTCATGCCAGTGCTAAATATTTGGTGGAGGCACCGAAGTTACCGAGGAGTGTGAAGAAAGAGAAATGGGTCAAAGGAGCTATGATCAAGGGAAGAAATGAGCCATGTGCTATTGGAAATGTAGCAAGGGTTGTAGCCGGAGTAAAAGGTATAAATATGGAGGAGGTTGCTGAGGCGTAAGTTCTCCCTATTTGAGAATGTGAGACAGCTTACTAACAATTTATAGGGCGTGGAACAACAGTGTGAAGATGTTTGGGCTGGGTGAGACAGTGTAAATCTAGTTCTACGATATTCTAAACAAGACTTAAAGACATAGACCTTTACTCTGCAAAATAAGCTAGTATGCCATCCGCAGCCAGGTCCAGAGAAGAAGCATTAGCCCGCTGACAGTCCTAGAGTTATTACCGTCTGGTCGCAGGCTGGCAGTGTACAAATTAGCAAATGGAAGACAAATTCTGTCTTTAGTTACCTCAAATGACTGTTCCTCCATCAAACAATGTTTGACCACAACCGCCACACCAAAACTCTACCCCTCTCTCCTCCACACAGGCGCAAAACGTCGTCAACGCAAAAACAAAGCAAGCGACTCGCAAAACAAACATCATTGCCCCAACTAGGAGTCGAATCTAGGGCATTACCGTAGCCTAACGTTTCCAGTTCTATTGGAACTACTAGCGGAGCGCTCTACCACTGAGCTATTGGGGCATTTTGTGGTCGAGTCATGCGCGAAGCCGGATGAGTCCAGCGCGGATGGTGGTGGATCAAATGTAAGCTGACAGTAAATGTCAAGCTGGAGTTGGGACTTTAAATACTGAGCATTCTTTGCATTCTTAGAGACTGACTAGTGCGCGCAACAAGACGCTTGCTGTGTGGTAGGTGTGGTGGACGTTGCTGAAATGATTAAAATCGCATTCGGGTGTGTTGAGGAACGATTATGGTTAGAACACCATTGGAGATCTGGCTAAGCTTATTCTCTTGTAGTGCGACTTCTATATGGTTTACTGTTAATGATGAACGATATTAAGATCCGATCGAGTTTACTAACATCATTCCTAGATGATGCTTTTTTTTGGAAGAATTGATGAGGACGCTCACGAGCAGCGCGTGAGTATTTTTTCCATACCTCAATGTAGCAAGACTCGTGCGAAAGGAGGTAAGTCTCTTCTGCGATATTGGCGATCATGTTCCATGATTCCAAAAGTAAATTCGGACGAACAACCTCCGCAAGTCGTAGGAAGGCCAGATCCCAGTAGCGGATCCTCCACCAAGGGCTATACTTTCTGGTGCAACGCAAAGTGTGTCTATTGATTTTGTGTGGATGTAGCAGATGCGAATTTCGGTCGTATAGTTGAGTAATTAGCAAGTCATATGGACCCTCACACGCATATCTAAGGTAGCTGTGAAACATTTGCAGCTTCTTCCTATCTAACGAGAAGGTCATGGAGTTAATCACGATTGGATGACGACGACGAGTATCATCTGTTCTCTGCAGCATAGCGGTAGTCTTTAACCATTGGTGATGTTTAGTACCGCGTATTAGAATACTCCAAGTGTCGAAGGACGAGAAACTCGTCGTATTTCAATACACAGAGCATATTGTTACGACTCGGGTATGTCTTTTAGGATCCCAAAGATACAGAGAAACTCAGTAACGTGTTCCAAGAGCAGATCTTCATGAGAATACCTCCATTGCACTGACTTTCCTGTGGTAGGATATACAAGTGTTGCCAGGCATTTATATACCACAGCAAGAACTTTGAGCCCTGTCTCACAATTGTCCACGATCACGGTCAGGATTGTTGTTTCGGGATGAGTAATATTCAGTGCCAGGCTAGCAATTCTGCCTAATCTAGGCCGCTTTAAGTGGGCGTATTCGTCAGCATATCACTTGTGTTCGTGGAGGCACGTAAGAGGCAGAAATATATCAAAGAGGACTCAGTTCCCTTTACCAGCCAACCCCATCACCTCGTCGCGTGTCCCTCGATTCATCATGTATCTATATACAAGACCAAACTTACCAGCGTTTTCATTGCATAGCTTATTTGTAACTCCTTCTCTTTGGGGGTGTCGCTGCATTATATCGTTTCACCTATGCACCCGATATGGCGCGCGACTGGAAAATTAGGATGGATGCGTCCAACCGATTGATAGCAAAAGAACTAAGTCGCCTTACATCTGACTGCCCGATCAGCTTTGGTGGCGAGAGATATTCAAGAGATCAATTATTCTGTAGCTGATCGAGTGAAGCCCTCACAGTTTTCCAGTTCTTCCAAACAATCAGGCTCGCAATCCCTCTATAGTATAAGTGCTTTACTCATGATGCTCAGCTTGTATCAAGAGTCTGCCAATTAATCTCCACCGGTCGGAAATTGTGTTTCTTTGAGATAGCGGTAATTTACCCATCAGCTCGCTGGTGGCCAGACAACACATACCTTGTATGTGCGGTGTCTATGGGAACGCTTCAAGGAGCACCAGGTGGGGATCGCAGAATGCCAACATCTGAGGGGTTAGTTCGCATTATATCGGTACTTATGAAGTTCTTCGTGTTTCTAACGAAGCAGAACGTGCGAATGAGTTTGCGGTGTCCACCCATGAGGTCAACTCTCCATCGAAACGATACTCGACCTGAACTACAGACTTTCGTCCAAACGATAATTTCTCGTAGCACAACAGTGTGGGAGAACAGAGATCGATTCGACAAGGGTATCCCCCATCAACACTGCCAGCCACAAAGATCTCGCCACAGGTTTCGTGTCACTATCCGTCAACATTACACAGACTGAGCACGGTCCTGTCTCCAAGCAAGGAACCCATCTTCTTCCCAAAAGAGCCATGACCTCGCGATCCCAAGGCGGCTTCCTCACGGCTGCGAACATCGATCGCATGGCTGCAGCGGGGAAGAGGGTCTTCGAAACCATCAACGAGACGAAAGGGAACCAGCATATATAACACGCATACTCGCATAGATTCCATTCTCGTGATCGCTTTTAGTAGGCCTACCGCAACAAACGCAGCTGAGACGCGCTTCTATCCCAGGCTATCAAAGACTGCCAGCCGTTGTTATGCAACAATGCCAGCGCATTAACAGAATTCGGTTGCACGCAGACGGACGGTCCCGCAATTTAAGAATCATGTCCCCGCTTTTCATGGGAGTTATCGATGTTTGAGCCTCGATCGAGGCGCACTCGATCGCAGTGGGTACCTTCTCGATATTGCGAACCACTTGTGGTGCTGCGAGCTTGCCCGTTTCACAACCTTCAGAAGGGACACTTTGATCTTTGCCCAAAACCGATATCTGGGTTTGCCGAACGGTTGACTTGTATTGTTGAATGCTTCTGCGTGTAGATCTTAGTAGGCTTCAAGTTCGGATCAGGTAGTGAAGATTTGGGCTTGTATGTATATGTTTCTTCAAATTACAGTCCTACCATTAGAGGTATTAGGTGTTTAGTCATTATAACTATCTGATCGATCGATCGAACAGTGCCGTGCCATCCTTCCCACTTTGAGTACCAGACACCGTCTCCAGACAACACAACCGCCAAAAGAAAGTAGAGTACAAGGTGCTATGTTTCAGTGCATCATGAATGAAGTTTTGTTGCCAATGAAGTAAACGAATGAACGTGACAGCCAGCCGTAAGTAAGAAAAAAAGCTAAAGGGTTCTAAGCTAAAGGGTTCTACCAATATCGTAGATACCAATGTGAGAAGAGGCCGCCGTTAAGAGAGGTTTTGTGGTTACAAGATATGTGTATTCCCTGATACTGTAAAGGTCGTGGCGTATAGCTGAGAATAGAGTGTGTGAACAGATGCCGAAAAAGAACGGTAAGGACAGGCGTCAAATCAAGGACTTGAAAACGAAATAGCGCAGTGACAGAACAACCGCCAACGATGAAACAGAATTCCTCTGGTGGAAGGGAATGACCACGACAGTGTATGAAAGCATTGAATGGGAAACTCGCACGCTCAAAGAACTAGATCAGGTAGGCAGAGTGATGAACGAAACAAAAGTCCTCCATACGAGAATGGTCAACATCGCGTCTCGATTTACACATCAGTAGGAGACCGCACCAGCGCCTCCACTTCTTCTTTTCGGACTTCATCGCTGAGAGGAGGGCAGAAAATGCCAGCCGTTTCGTCCAAGAAATCGGTATCTAGGGATTCGGAATCGGCGTTGAACTTTAATTGACGAAGAAGAGTCGTTCGAACTTGCTCTGGTAAGGTTTGACGCAATGCTTCTTCGATGGCAGCATCGAGTTGAGCCCGCTCAGACTTCATTGACAAGACCCTTGACTGAAAGTCTGGGTGTCGTTTCTGCATCCTGTCATGGCGGCGTGCCATCGCCCGGAAAGCGAGAGTATATGTGCCCAAAGTTGGAATCTTTGGATGCAAAAGACCACTCTCGCGTTTGTTGTTCTCGTTCAACTGCTGGCCAGGAACGTGTAGACCCATCTTCATTAAATCATCAGCCATGTATCCGATCACATCGGTCTGCTGTTTACGGCGACCTTGTTCAATTTCTGCCTTCTTGGGGTCTTTTGCTTTCCCCCGTGTGCTCCTTCCATTCGATTGAGCCGGCTTGATAGTAGAGGTGGCTGATGTGGCTCTTTTTCTTCTCTTGGTGATACGGCCTGTGGAATCTGTCTGATCTTTGGGGGACTGCAGGAGGGAGTTTGATGGCAGGCTTTCCATCACCGGCGATGGAGGAATGGATCCGAGATTGGAGGAACATGTTGACGACGATGTTGAAGGATAGGAGTGTATTCCCACTATGCACTCTCTTCTCGACGAGGAAACTGACGCCGGATGGAAAGGCATACGAGACCAGAGTGGAGCGGTCTGAGTGACCGGAGAAGGTGAAGGCGTTAGTGGAGTAGTCCGCCCGGAAACGCAAGAACGAGAGAGGAAATCTCTTGTGTCAATGGCGGGTGGATGGCCACTGATCAGTTCGTTGATGCCAGGAAGGCTACAAGTAGTCCTTGAATCCATTTGTGGCATTTGTGTATACATGGTTGCAGATCCGTAGAATCGAGACAGGAGATCTAAAACGATGGTCAAAATGTATTGAAGGGAATGGTGCAAGAAACACAACAACCGCCGAAAAGCAAAAGGTATTAGCTGTGAGTGCGGGACGAAAACGTATGAGTGGGTGTGATAAAGAAGAAGAGCACAAACCAGGGAATCACCAACGAATTTATGTCAAATCTACTCCATCATCGCTCCAAAGATCTCCCCATCCAAAAGCGGTGCAGTATACAACAACAATGGTACATCTGCATCTGATACTCAAGGAACATGGTTCCACCGGCCATCACAACCAGAGCTCAACACACTCGAACAACAAATCAATGCATAGAAAGAATACAATGCCTGCAGAAGCCTTTCAATCATAGCCTCAGATCCATCAAGCCACAAAATGGCAGACCCTCGATTGGTCAACTTCCACTAACAGAATGGTCGCCCTTGCTGGACAACTCTAGGCTGATTCGCCATGACAAGCACACCCTTCTTCTCGGGGAGGTGGGATCACTGCTCCACGGCATAAGATTGACCATAGTGAGATGCAAATGTCATGCTGCGGCATCGGAGAGGAAGGTTTTAACTTTTTTAAAACGACGACAATGCTGTCGAATGCTATGTGGGTTAGAAGAAACCGCTGGATATGCTCAAAGCTACATGGGGAGCATGCTCTTCGCATTCTCTGACCGCT